AAAAAAAAAAAAAAAAAAAAAAAAAAAAAAAAAATGTTTTTTTTCAGTAGAAAACAAAAAGAGGAAAAAGAAACTAAAGATAAAATGGAAGTTTTACTTCATAAGTCAATACTCCTGCAGAAATACATATAGTTTTAGTACATAATAGAGGCTCTGGACTGGGATTAGTTTGGAGAGAGGACCACTGAATAATTTAGTCGTACCATAAACAACAATGTTGAGCATACAACCATTCAAGTAAACATTATGAATATCAGGTATCTGAAGACCAGGGATACCGTCAAATAATGTCAAATCAACAACTTCAACTTTTAAAACTAAGAACGCTTTTAATCTGAAAAATTAAAGCACGATAGACAATCCAATCCTTTCTACTCACAGCAAATATCACATGGCAAATCTGCATCAACAGACACTTGCTTTATGCATCCTTCAGCGGCTTCAGAAAACGTAAGCTCAAGTTCCACCTAAGCTCCAGAAGAAAACCAAGTAAAAGCTTAGCTTTACCAACCTCAGAAAACAAATCTCATGCAAAAAATGGCAGGAGATAAATAGTTAACCTCAATATCATTATTCATATGCTCAGTCTCTTCTTCAAAGATCTGCAAGATCCATAAAAGGGTATTAAATTAAAAAAAAAAAAATACAAAGAAGATGAAAAAAAATAGTTATTTGTCCAATATTTCATAAATAGAGCAAAATCAAGGTACCTCAGAAAATATTTTTTGAAAAGAATCAGAGAACTCGGCTCTGGGTGTACGTTTAAAGTGATTCCAGTCCCTGTTATGATATTCTGAACTTTCAGTTCTTCCTGATTGCCCTCTTATCTATCACATATATTTATCCCAATTAACATAATGCCAGCTATACTCGACCAAAACAGTGGAGAGAAAGCAACCAACGAGAAGAATCTAGTGAAATATGAGGAAAAAAAAATAAGGAAAGGAAAAGGATGGAACACTCTACCCTATCATATTGGGTTTTCTTTTCAGGATCCTGTAAGGTCTGGAATTTCCTTTCACAATAAAAAGTTACAAACACGTCATCATTGGAAAACCAACATAAGTGAAACAAATAAGAAGCTATGTTAAAATAACGATGAGACCTCATACGCATCTTTTATCTCTTGAAATTTTCTCTTGGCAGTAGGATTATTCTTGTTGGCATCAGGATGATACTTCTTAGCAAGCTGCAGAGCATATACATACAGGAGCACAATGACATTGCTGTTAAAATATCGAAACAAATCCCCAAAATTTTGATACTTTAGTAAAAGAGATATATCCAACATATCCAAAGACAAGGGAGTTTTAGAACACATAATTTAAGCGTATCATGTTCACTAGGTAGCTGGGCCCAAAAAAAAGGTAGACATAACATAAAGGGACATGCATACAATGGTGATCAAAATAGAACTTACAGAACGAAAAGCAGCCTTAATCTCATCTCGAGTGGCATTGTTTGAAACGCCAAGAATCTTATAATAATCTTGTTCAACTGAACCGAGAACTCCTGTAAATAAAACAAGAAGAAGAAAACTACCATAATAAGAAATTCTACAGCCAACACGCCTCGAAATTTGAATTTTCCAGAACTTTTTAAAGAACCTGTGGCATGAATAAGCCGTTTGGACAATAGAACCTCATAAGTCGCAAAATCGGCATGTCTTCCCAACTGAATGCGCCAATAATTGTTTGCTGAATATTGCTTTACCGTCAGTAAATGCTAACACTTTGTTCTTGCACAGAATAATGATCTCTGTAAAGCTACTTAAGTGCCATAGTTTCACACTGTAAGAACAAAAAGCTCATAATTCTTACCTGGTGAATGCATAAAGGCGCGTTGGGATTGGAAAGGTCTCCCGCATAAGGCTCCATTAGAGCAACTGGTCCGCCGACACTGAAGAGAAAAGCATGAGATTTGAGGTCGGTTTGTCTATGAATTTGCAAGAAATTATAATGTAATTTACCAGAATTTTGAGCAGCGATTTTTGGGAGAACGCAAGCAATCTTAATCGGCCCATTTTCGACTTAGCGCTGAGTATCCAACAAAGTATCAGACGAAAGAGAGAAATCAAAGGAGGGGTTTTGCCCTGACCTTAAACCCCACGCTATACCATTTTCGCCGCCTTCTTATTTATGTGGACTGTGCAGGAAAAAGAAAATAAAAACAAAAAACATCAAACATACACGGTGACGGTCACGTGTATTATTGGATAATTGTTTAGGCTATGTTTGGTAAATGGCTTTTTTGACAAAAAAAAATCGATGTTTTTGGCGTTCATATTTTTAAGGGTAAATTGCAGTTTTGATACCCAAACTAAAGTTCATTTCGGAATCAGTACCCGCTTTTTAACATTTGCAAAATAAGTATCCAAACTTTCATTCTCTTAGCAATGTTAGTACCTAGCCGTTAGATCTCCGTTAAATTTTCGTTAGTTGTTAACGAAAGTAGGCAAAATAGAAAGAAACTTGTATTTTTGTTATTGGAAAATTATTATTCCAAGATATACTACTTGAACTAGAAGAGAAACCATGTCTTCTCATTTTTCTCGATTTATTATATATTTTTTTTAAAAAAAAAAATTGATTTTATCCAAATTTTTTTCTTATAAATAGTGGAGGCTGCGCTTTTTTTTTTTTTTTGAAAAAAAAAATGATACAAATGTCTTATGTATATACATTTCATCATGAGCCAAAAAAAAAGAAAAATTTCCTCCATTTTGCCTACTTCCGTTAACAACTAACGGAAATTTAGCGGAGATCTAACGACCGGGTACTAACGTTGCTAACAGAATGAAAGTTTGGGTATTGGTTGTGCAAATGCTAAAAACGGGTACTGATTCCGAAATGAACTTTAGTTTGGGTATCAAAACTGCAATTTACCCTATTTTTAATTTGATAAATGTCATAAATCTATATTTATATTGATATATATATATATATATATATATCAATATAAAGAGAATAAGTATTTACGAAATTTAGTAAGAAAAAAAAAAAGATGAGAACATTTAATGTATATTTTATTTGAAAAATTTTAAATTTATGCATTAATTACTTGCATATAAATTTTCTTAAATCATATCAAATGATGTAAAACGTGAATAAGAATGGGATATACGAGATACTCTCTCGTGAAGAACTCTCAATATCAAATAAAATTCTCCAAAATCAACCATTGTTCGTTTGTTCTTATAAAATTCTCCAAATCAACTGTCGTTCGTTTGTTTCTTCTGCCAGATAAATAAACAAAGAGTCCTACCCTGCTAGTATCTTGCCTAACAAGTTGCAAGATATTTATTTAATTACCCATAATAATTAGACACTTAAGTAAATTACATAAAAGGAAGAATAATGCTTAAAATAATAAATAAATTAAATTCGAATTCGATCATATTTATCGAGGAAGGCGAGGACGATCTCGTCCAATCATCCTCCCCCGATTGAGAAGGATTCGCCCTCGAATCCGAAGCGATATTGTCTCCTTCCGAGCCGTCATCGCTCAAAGGGGCCAACTTCATCACGTGAAAAAATCAGATGAACACATAAGAGAGGGTAAACGAAAACGGTAAGTATCCTGCAGGAGCCATGCAAGGATCTCATAGTGGCCGATTTCTACTGCCCGGAGGAGAAACAGCCAACACAAAGTCACCCACGTTGAAGATCACAGAACGATTGTCCACCGCTCCAACCAAGTCTCCACGCGGCCCATCACGAGAAAGAAACAACGTCGTCGACGGCTGTGGCAAAGGAACCGAACGGGGGACCGAGGGATGTAAGACAACGTGGGTGCCCTCAAACAGAAATCCAGTCGTGTTAAGGTGACATTCATCATATTTTCATGCATTATGAGTGATATACTGTGATGTTTAACCGTGTTTATCGTGGGATTGTGCACCATTTTATTTGATTTATTAATCTATGATAGAGGTACATTTGTCGTTGGTTTTGCAGGAAATATGCCCGAAAAAGCGTTAAAGATGGAATTGGGACGAAAAACGGCAAAAACAAGGTGCAGGCAGGTCACACGACTCGTGTGAATAGGTGACACGAGTCGTGTGGGTTGAAAAGATGACGAAACTGGGGAATTTTGCTTCGGCTTTGTCACACGACTCGTGTGTCAAGTGACACGGGTCGTGTGACCTCACACGGGTCGTGTGACCCGGTCGTGTGACCAGTCGTGTGAGTCTGGGAGTTAGCCGAAAGTTCGAGGAAAGTCACACGACTCGTGTGGTATGTGACACAGGTCGTGTGACGCGCAGAGTGACCAGCGAGAAATAGGATTCCTACGCGATTTTGATCCCTTTTTCGACCCATATTTGCCCTACAGTGTATAAGAAACATAATGAACACGGTTTTGAGACTTTTGACACCATTGAAGGCTTAGAGAAAGCACGAAACACACGAGGAATTCGAGGAAGTCAAGATTGAAGATCCGAGAACTAACAGCTTTAATAGTTCTTCTTTCTTTTCTCTTTTTCTTCTTCATTGAGTATTGAGAATATGTTTAGTAGCTAAATTTCTTTGAGATTCTAGGATTTGCGAGTACTCGGATTATTTTATGAAGTGATTTTGTTTATTCATTCTGGTCTATCTTTCGTTTATCAATTTCTTGTGATTATATGAATTATGTGATATAGGGCTCGTATTTATGCATATTTGTGATTGGCTTGAGACCGAGAGGAGATAGTTGATTGCTAGAATTGGGAAATTCATAACGTAAGAGACTAAACAGACCGAGAGGT